CAGGCCACCATGGAGGAAAACACCTACCCCTCCTTCCTTAAGTCTGATATTTATTTGGAATATACGAGGACAGGCTCGGAGAGCCCGAAGGTCTGTAGCGACCAGAGCTCTGGGTCAGGGACGGGGAAGGGCATATCTGGATACCTGCCGACTTTGAATGAAGATGAGGAATGGAAATGTGACCAGGACGTGGACGAGGATGATGGCAGAGACACTGCTCCTCCTGGAAGACTCCCTCAGAAGCTGCTCCTGGAGACAGCTGCCCCGAGGGCCTCCTCCAGTCGACGGTACAGCGAAGGCAGAGAGTTCAGGTGAGTCCGACGCCAGGCGTCTGCTTTCTGTGCTCGCCTCCAGGAGCTGGAGAACAAGCCAGGGAAAGGTGCTGATGACGGGGCTTTAACCCACGCTGGATGTCCTGCTGCCGTTGCGGTTGGATTTTGGTTTGTTTCTTATTCATGATAATTTTGCTTTTGTCATTAGATACTTTTTAATATTTGTAATGTTGAGAATACTCTTACTGAGAACAGACTAAAGTATATGACTTTGTGAGTCATGAGGAACATCAGAATTCTTACAAGTCACACTGACATTTGAACTTCACCCTTCAGTGGTAAAATCTGTACTCTCTCAAATAGGTGGTGGATCTATCTGGTAGACACGATCCTTTGGGCTTAATAAAGGGAGGAATGGATGTTCCAGGGCGTCGACACTTGGAGACTTGGATTATTGCTTTTTTTTTTTTTTTTTTTTGAGACGGAGTTTCACTCTTGTCACCCAGGCTGGAGTGCGATGGCGCAGTCTGCGCTCGCTGCAGCCTCCACCTCCCAGGTTCAAGCGACTCTCCTGCCTCAGTCTCCCGAGTAGCTGGGATTATGGGCACCTGCCACCATGCCTGGCTAATTTTGTATTTTTGGTAGACACTAAGTTTCTCCATGTTGGTCAGGCAGGTCTCAAACTCCCGTCCTCAGGTGATCCGCCCGCCTCGGCCTCCCAAAGTGTTAGGATTACAGGCGTGAGCCACCTCGCCTGGCCGAATTATTGCTTTTATAATGATCTAAGCTTCTTCCTGGAGGCTGAGAAATAGTGGGGAGGAAATTTAGGTGTGGGGAGTGGCCAGAGTGCTTTGAAAACTTCCTGTGGCTATGGTGGGCATTCCGAGATTGGGCTTTTTTTCTTACCAAGACAGTCTGTTGGTGCTGTGGTGTAGTCCTTGCAGCCTGGGCCCTGAGGCAATCCTCGCAGGCGTCTGGGGGTGTGTGTGCCGCTGGGGAGGGAGCAGAGTGGTGCTCAGCCGTGGACCCTTCTCTTCCGTCTTCATTCGCTGTGATCCCTGTGTGGTTCCTGGAGGTGTGTTTGGCTTTCGGGCTGGCATCTGCTATGCTTGTGAGCAGAGCGCATGTGTTTCCCACTCTCTGTGGAGCTGGTCACCGGAGGCTCTGGCCTGGGTAACTTTGAAAGCCTGGAATCCACATGACCCCTGCTGATTTAATCAAGACTCCGAGAACACATCCCCATGTGCTGGGACTCTCCTGTGACTTGAATCAGTTTTTCAAGCCTACTGTGACACAGAAATCGGCTCCTTGCTCCTAAACGCAGGATTAAACATTTCTGAGTGATAGGATTTAAGATGAACTGTCAGCCGGTCGCGGTGGCTCACACCTGTAATCCCAGCACTTTGGGAGGCCGAGGTGAGCGGATCACCTGAGGTCTGGAGTTCTAGACCAGCCTGGCAGTATAGAGAAGCCCCATATCTACAAAAATACAGAATTAGTTGGATGTGGTGATGTACGCCTGTAATCCCAACTACTTGGGAGGCCGAGGCAGGAGAATCGCTTGAACCCAGGAGGCAGAGGTTGGGGTGAGCCGAGACTGTGCCATTGCACTCCCGCCTGGGCAACGGGAGCAAAACTCCATCCCAAAAAAAATAAAAAAAGATGGAGTGTCTAGGTTAATGTTTTTTTTTTCCTTTTGTTCATTGTCTTTAGCCAGGTGCTGTTTTATTCTTTTTTTGTGTGTGTGAGATGAAGTTTTGTTCTTTAGCTCGGGCTGGAGTGCAGTGGTGTGATCTTGGCTCACCGAAACCTCCGCTGTCCGGTTTAAAGCGATTCTCCTGCCTCACCCTCCCAAGTAGCTGGGATTACAGGCACGTGCCACCACGCCAGGCTGATTTTTGTGTTTTTAGTAGAGATGGGGTTTCACCATGTCGGCCAGGATGGTTTCCAACTCCTGACCTTGTGATCTGTCCGCCTTGGCCTCCCAAAGTGCTGGGATTACAGGCGTGAGCCACTGTGCAGTGGCCAGCCAAGTGCTCTTAAGCAAGCATTTTAGGAGGTGGAGTCTTACTCCTCACCCAGGCTCAAGTGCAGTGGTGCAGTCACGACTCACTGCAGCCTCTTCCTCCTGGGTTTAAGTGATTCTCCTGCTTCAGCCTACCAGGTAGCTGAGATTATGGGTGCCTGTCACCACGCCTGGCTAATTTTTGTATTTTTAGTAGAGATGGGGTTTTGCAATCTTGGCCAGGCTGGTCTCGAGTTCTTGGGCTCAAGTGATCTGCCTGTCTTAGTATCCCAAAGTGCTGGGATTACAGGTGTGAGCCACTGCACCCGGCTGGTTATTTTGTTTGTTTGTTGGCATGGAGTCTTGCTCTGTCGACCAAACTATAGTGCAGTGGCAGGATCTCAGCTCACTGCAGCCTCCGCCTCCTGGGTTCAGGCTATTCTCCTGCCTCAGTCACTGAGTAGCGGGGATCACAGGCGTGCGCCACCACGGCTGGCTAATGTTTTGTATTTTTAGTAGTGCAGGGTTTTACCACGTTGGCCGGATTGGTGTCAAACCAGTCTGGTCTTGGACCTCAGGAGATCCACCTGCCTCAGCCTCCCTGGTAGTTGGAATTACAGACGTGAGCCACTGCGCCTGGCCCCAACTGGTTACTTTTAAGATGGGACTAAAGTTGAGGGCTGGGCTCAGTTCTGATTTCTGCTGTTCAGCAGGAGCAACACGGTGGCTGGTCTTGGGCTCCAGGTTCGTGAGCAGTAGCTTCACCGTGTGTCCTGGATTTGCTGTATTTGTAGCAAGCAATGTTTGTTATGAAATTAATGGAATACATTGGCTTCTCATCAAATTCTGTGTAGCTGTGTCTACACAGTTTGGGTCCTCACTTGCCTGCTGTGGGGCTGCAGAGTCCTGTCTGCAGTGGGATCCTCTGTGGGAGGTGGCCGTGGTGCAGCTTTGTGGTGTGAAGATGTCTGACGCTGGATGGCTGGTTCTCAGCACAGACAGGGCGTGTAGTCTAGTGTGTGTGTGTGTTCCTCACGCTTGGACCTTCTGTCTGTCCTGTGAGGTGTGGGGTGAGGGTGCAGTAGGTTGGTCGGAAGCAGTGGAAACCCACCCACCTGGGCTCAAGCCTGAAGGCAGCTGTTGAGGCAGAGCCTCGGGTGCACCTTGGTGAGGGGCTAGCACCTTTGCTTTGCGCCAGGCTGACTTTGCTTGCCTAGTGGCCAGCTTCGTGGGCTTTGTGTTGGAGGTGGCTGCTGCAGTGACCTTGGGCCCTGGGTTCCCTTGTTTACAGATGCTTCCTGCCCCTCTGAAGGACAGGCCTGCCGTCGCTCTGAGGACCGGCACCCTGTGCCGCTGTGTCCTGTCCGTCCCAGCACAGTCAGACGGCGTGGGTGGGGGCTGTGCAGGAGGGCCATTCCTGAAGGAAAGCGGGGTGCTCCAGCCAGGCAGATGGCTACTCCCCGGTGGGGAGCTAGGGGTAGTCCTCCAAAGGAAGGCTGGGGGTAACACAAAGGGCAGAGGAGAGTGGGTACTGACGGGCAGCTGGTGAGCACTGCTACAAAAGAGGACCTGGAGCTCAGGCCTGGCGTGTTAGCGGATGCGTTTTCCGTGGAGAGCAGCTTAACTGTCCCAGGGTGGAATCTGCGCGGAGGAACGGTCAGAAGGGCTCTGTCCAGCACGGGAGGGCTGGGCCTTGGACGCTGGCCCTCTGTCCAGCACAGGAGGGCTGGGCCTTGGACGCTGGCCCTCTGTCCTGGGGCCTCCTTTGCTGTGCCTTTGCTGCCGTCACTCCTTTCCTGCCGTGAGGCACAGGCTTCCAGTTGTGCGGGCCTGGGTGCGGGTTCCTGTTGGTCCGTGTGTGAGCTGCGTGCTGGTTTCATATACTTGGTTTGAGGAAAGTGAGATGTTTTGCTGAGGTCTGTCTCAGCCTGGGAAAGAGCTCCATTCCTGGCCCTTGTCTGCATTTGTCCCACTCACCCACTGTCATTTTGAGCTCCTGGGCCAGGGTTCCATGGGGCTCCTCCCTGGCTCCCCAGTTCTGCCTCTGTGGGAACATTTTCTGCACCTTGGGTCTTGGTTTTCATTGTCAGTGGAACCTTGAACAGAACTGGCCGGGTCATTTCACCAGTATGAACTGTCAGGCAGGTTTTGCTGTTCACTGAGTGGGCAGGCAGGGGGCCTAGGGCCTGCACTACCTGGCTGGCGGGCTCAGGCTCCTCTCCCCTTCAGGGTGGCTTGGCCCACCAGGTGGCCTTCAGGCCTGGCCTTGCACGCCCCTACCAGGTGTGCTTGGTCAGGCGTGCAGCCCCTCACCGCTGGAGCCTTCTGTTGACTGCCCTGACCTTCCTCGATGGCTGGGCAGCTTACTGGGGACAGGGTCTTCCTAGGGATTTTCTTGTATCTTCCCAGGTCAGCCCAGTGAGGCACTTGTTATGGGTAGGGCTGGTCAGTGTGGCTGTGGCCAGATAGGGGACAACAGATGTGTCCACAGCAGGAGCAACACGGTGGCTTCTCTTGGGCTCCTGGTTCGTAGAGCTCAGCTGCTCAAGGGACCAGTGGGTCCTTTTCACGGTGGGTGGTCAGCCCCTGCTGTTCAGGTTCGCACAGGGGTGCCTGAGGAACCGTCTGACCTGCCCGTTAGTTTATTGACTGTTTCTGGTAATGGCCTGAAAGGTTAAGAGAAGAAATTGTTTAAAAAAAAAAAAAAAAGAGAGAGAGAGAGCTTGCTTTGGCAGCACATATACCAAAAATTGGAACGACACAGAGGAGGTCAGCATGGCCCCTGCGCAAGGATGACACACAAATCCGTGAAGCTTCCGTGTTTTACACAGGAACAGAAAATCACACACTGCACGTTCTCACTCACAGGCGGGTGCTGAACAGTGAGGACACATGGACGCAGGGAGGGGAGCACCACACACTGAGGTCTGTCGGGGGGAACTAGGGGAGGGACAGCCGGGGGTGGGGAGTTGGGGAGAGAGCATGGGAGAAATGCCAGATTAGGTGATGGGGAGGAAGGCAGCAAATCACACTGCCACGTGTGTACCTAGGCAGCAGTCTTGCATGTTCTTCACATGTACCCCAACACCTAAAATGCAATTTAAAAAAATGTATAAAATATTCTAGACAGAGAGAGAGAAAGCACTCAAAATGAGTACAGTTTTCTGTGAGAGACTGATCTCGGGCTTCTGTGTCACTTGGACTTGAGGCGGTGGTGCTGGTGAAGGTGCCGGGTGCTGAAGGGCTGTGTGGAGAGGGTGAACTCTGCTTCCCACACAGAGGGGGTGGCTCCGGCTGGGGTCACCCTCAGGCTTGTCTTGTTAGGGGGCCTCTGCCGTGGTGCACAGAGGGCATAGGAGCTTGTGAGCCGCACCAACCCTTGCCCGGCTCCCCTTGCCTGGGTCGGGGCTTTCTAGTCTCCTTTGGGGTGTTCACTTTCACTATTTGAGCAGATCTGAATAGAATGTTTTTTTTTTTTTTGAGATGGAGTTTCACTCTTGTTACCCAGGCTGGAGTGCACTGGCGCGATCTCAGCTCACCGCAACCTCCGCCTCCTGGGTTCAGGCAGTTCTTCTGCCTCAGCCTCCCAAGTAGCTGGGATTACAGGCGTGCACCACCATGCCCAGCTAATTTTTTGTATTTTTAGTAGAGACGGGGTTTCACCATGTTGACCAGGTTGGTCTTGATCTCTTGACCTCGTGATCCACCCGCCTTGGCCTCCCAAAGTGCTGGGATTACAGGCTTGAGCCACCGTGCCCGACCTAGAATGTTTTTTAAGACAGAGTCTTGCTCTGTCGCCCAGGCTGAAGTGCAGTGGCGCCATCTCAGCTCACTGCAGCCTCTGCCTCCTGGGTTCAAGCAGTTTTCTTGCCTCAGCCTCCCCAGTAGTTGGGACTACAGGCGCCTGCCACCAGGCCTGGCTAATTTTTTTTGTATTTTTAGTAGAGACAGGGTTTCACTCTGTTGGCCAGGCTGGTTTTGAACTCCTGACCTCAAGTGATCCGCCCGCCTCAGCCTCCCAAAGTGCAGGGGTTGCAGGCATGAGCCACCGTGCCCCGCCCAAAAATAAATTTCTTTGTGGATGTCCAAGAACATTGGACAGAAGAACCATGTTTTCCACCTAAACTGTGTTGTGCTCTGAGCATGTTGAGCTCCTGGCTGAGCCTAGGAACCCGGCCTGGCGACTGTTCCACTGGCCCGTGGCTGGGGGTTATCCTCTGCCAGCCAACTGGCCGTGGAGCCCCTCTGTCTCATCTGTGAAGTGGGGGCAGTGGAGTACGGACCTGGTAAGTGGCAGACATTGTGGCGGCTTGTGAGCGCCTCGGAGGCCTCAGCCCTGTGTCCATACACCTCTTAGCATGCTCTTCTGCAACAAATGGTTGCAGAGATAGAGTCGTGAAGAGCACAGTCTGATTTTAGTAATTGTCTTTCCTTAAAGTGAGGCACCCTCCCTCAAACCTGCTCCTTTGTATTCTTCTTCTCTCAGAGGTGGCCTCAACACCTGCCAGGCCTGGCATCCTCCACCTCCTCATACTTGCACTCCCACTTCCTGCAGGAGTCTCCGCTCTGGGTCTTTGCCTCCGTCTGTTCTCCTGCAGCTCCGGAGGCTCTGTGGTAGATGCCCTCCCTTCCAGCACGCAGGGACTTCCTACCGCACCAGCAGCGAAACTCAGCCTCCTAAGGACACAAACCTGCTCTGCTGGACTCTGTCACCACAGCACCAACTGTGTCCTGCTTTTTTTTTTTTTTTTTTTTTTTTTTTTTGTGATGGAGTTTCACTCTTGTTGCCCAGGCTGCAGTGCAGTGGTGTGATCTCAGCTCACTGCAACCTCTGCCTCCCAGGTTCAAGCGATTCTCCCATCTCAGCCTACTGAGTAGCTGGTGTTACAGGCGCATGCGCCACCACACCTGGCTAATTTTTGTATTTTTTAGTAGAGACTGGGTTTTGCCATGTTGGCCAGGCTGGTCTCGAACCCCTGACCTCAAGTGATCTGCCCGTCTCTGCCTCCCAAAGTGCTGGGATTACAGGTGTGAGCCTCCACGCCTGGCCCATCCTGTATTTTTATGCAACTGTCAGTGGCAAGGACTCCAAACCTCTTTTTTCTCTTCCTTAGCCATGTGAAGCTCCACAGTCTCTGACAGATTTCAGCGGAGTCCACAGAAGTGTCTGCAGTTGCCTGTTAGGGTGAAGGATTCTGGAACCGAGAGGCCCCTTTGCCTTGGCTGACCTCCGTCCCGGGCTGTGTGGGTGGGTTGTGAAAGGGAAGCACTTGCAGGCAGCTATTGGAAGACGTGCCGATGAGACTCTCCGTGGCCTTGGTGCTGGTGCTGACCTGCTGCAGCTGTTTCGGGGAGGGCCTGGGGCACATGCCATTGTGGGCCCGTGTGGCCCTTCTTGGAACTAAGCTGTATGCATGACTGCTGCCTGGCAGCCCAGCCCGATCTCACATTTTGCATCTGTCATTGTCACAGATTGGAATTTGATTCACAACTCCTGGTTCCGCTTATCCTTGTAAAATGCGGGCGTCATTTGTAGCAGTGTGCCCTGCAGTTACAGAGGTAGGGGCCAGGCTGGACCATGGTGGCTGCTGTCAGGGAGGGAGGGCCGCCTGTTGGCTCTTTCTTGGGCCCCTCCACTGCCTACTTGTGTGTGTGGAGGGAAGCAGCTTTGCCTCAGTTTCCCTTCTGTCACATCTGTGAAAACGCCCATTTTGTGAGCCACTCAGCGTCCTCTCAGAACCCATTAACCCAGAAAGTATTTGGTTTTTCCACTCCCTTAGGGATGGAGACTGGTCACGTGTCTTAAAACACACACAGCTCCCTGATGTTGCAATGGTGCCAGGGAGCCCCCAGAGGCCACATGCCAAGCTGAGTGCACATAGGGCCCAGGCTCCATGCCCCTTCTCCCCCAGCAAGGACCCTGGGCCCCGTCTGGAGTTGGACGCTGACTGTGTGGATTGCAACCTTGGACCACAGGCTTCTTTCGTGACCCGTCGAGGCGTCCCCTAGCAAGTGGGCTCAGCTCTTGGCTCAGCCACGGGCGGGGTGCCGGGCAGGCGCTGTCCTTGCTGTGAGCTGCAGTGTGCAGCGTGCTCCTGGCCCCGCTCGTGGCACTCACCATCCTGCCTCGTTTGAGGTTCAGTTTCCTCCCGTGCTTTTTCGTGGTTTTAACCCACTTTGGGTCTTTACCAGCTCATCTGTAGTCTATGGGGTCAGTGTCTGCTCCTAAACAAGTGTTTAAAATAACCCTAAGGAGCGCTGCTTGTGCTACAGCCGGCAAATAGAATGGCTTGAATGCCCACTGGCACGACTGCTTGGTTACATAGGCATTTTTTTCTGTGCAGTTCGATATGTGGGCTTTTAATTTTCTTCTTTCTCTTCCGTGTTTTCCAAATGCTTATTAGGAAGTGTATTATGAAAAGAATAATAGCTTTACCAGAAGGTCTGAATTACATGCAGCTCTTTTTCTTTTTTTGAGATGGAGTCTCTCTCTGTCGCCATGCTGGAATGCAGTGGTGGGATCTCAGCTCAGTGCAACCTTCACCACTTGGCTTCAAGTGATTCTTCTGCCTCAGCCTCCCGAGTAGCTGGGACTACAGGCGTGCGCCACCACACCCAGCTAATTCTTTTGTATTTTTAGTAGAGACGGGGTTTCACCATGTTGGCCAGGATGGTCTCAATCTCTTGACCTTGTGACCCGCCCGCCTTGGCTTCCCAAAGTGCTGGGATTATAGGTGTGAGCCACCGCACCTGACCCAAAAGCACATTTTTCATTTAAAAAAGATACACGTAGGCACCCGCCACTGCACTCGGCTGTTGTGTGTGTGTGTCTGTGTGTGTGTGTGTGTCGGTCGGTGTGTGTCGGAGTTTTGCTCTTGTTGTCCAGGCTGGAGTGCAATGGCACAATCTTGGCTCACCGAAAACTCTGTTTCCTGGGTTCAAGCGATTCTGCTTGAGCCTTCCTGGTAGCTGGGACCACAGGGGTACGCCATCATACCCGGTAGCTGGGACTGCAGGGGTGCGCCATCATACCTGGTCAACAGCACACATTTATTTCTCAGTGCCTGTGAATATGTAAACCTGTTGGAGAAAAGTATTTTTTCTCTGGAAGACATGTCTCCTGAAGTCTTCCACGTTCCCACTCTGCTTGAAACAGCTACTCTTTAGGCATCCTGTGGCACTAGGTCCTGTGGAGCTGGTGTGTGTGCTACTGGCATGCTCTGTAACTGGGTGCAGTGGTACTGGTGTGCTGTTATTGGGTGCCGTGGTACTGGGTGTTGTGTTATTGGGTGCCATGTTACTGGGTGCTGTGTTATTGATTGGCATGCAGTGGTACTGGGTGCTGTGTTATTGGTGTGCCATGATATTCGGTGCCGTGTTATTGAAGTGCTGTGGTACTGGGTGCTGTTATTGGTTCACCATAGTACTGGATATTGTGTTATTGGCGTGCTATGGCGCTGGGTGCTGTGTTATCAGCATGCTGTTGTAGTGGGTGCTGTTATTTGTATGCCATGGTACTGGGTGCTATGTTATTGGTATGCTGTGGTCCTGGGTGCTGTGTATTGGCATGCTGTGGTACTGGGTGGTGTGATACTAGGTTCTGTGGTATTGGGTGCCGTGGTACTGGGTGCTATGCTATTGGTATGCTATGGTACCTGGTACTGTGGTACTGGGTGCTGTGTTACTGGTATGCTGTCATACTGGATGCTGTGTTATTGGTGTGCCATGGTACCGGGTGCTCTGTTACTGGGGTGCTGTGATACTGCATGCTGTGGTACTGGGTGCTATGTTATTGCCATGCTGTGGTACTGGGTGCTGTAGTACTGA